GGGTCCCCTCCCTTGCGAAGCGTCTCCATGTACTTCTGCATCTTCTCCGTCATCCAGGCCGGTGGGATGAAGGGCTTCAGCTCCTCCAGCTTCAGGTCAACGGAGTCCCTGCGGAGGGCAGAGGCCAGCGCTGAGCGGGGACCCCTGCGGCTCTTGCACGGGCAGGGTAGCCCCTGGTTCTGAGCCATTTTCACTAAAGGGGAGAAGGTTGCAGCACAAAAGACTTCTGGGCTTCTAGCCTCACCTGTAATCCTCACTGGCAGCCAAATCCCGAATATCCTCTTCAATGAGGAGATAAGCCTGCAGCACAAGGGGCAAAACGCTTCAGGTTTCCCATGCGAGAGCTTTGGACGCACCATGCTTCTGCTCAGAAATGAGATGTCTGCCTGGCACAGTGATGGAAGCTCATAACCCCCTTCCCGCTGGCCCTGTTAAACCCCACCAGCCTGCAGACCTGCTCCTACGAGGAGCTTTTGGTACCTCCTGGTTCTGCCCTACTCTCTCATATGTGCCCAAATCCCAGAGGAGCAGCAAAACACAATCTCCTTGGCTGAGGTGCCCCAAGCACCCAGAAACAACTGCCTCACCGAGCTCTGCCTGGCCTCCTGCACAAACTCACCTTCCCCACAACACACTGTTTTCGCTGCACGTGCCCTGGTTTACTGCTCACCTGCCCATTTCAATCCTGAATTGGGATTCTGTACAGTTCTCTCTCAGGCTGCGGCAGGCGCAAGCCTGAACGTACTCACCATCTTGCCCCCAGTGGCCCTCATGTGCTGCTGCTCTGCCAGCCAGTGCTTATCTTGCGGATCGGCTGCATACTGCAATAAAGCAGCAAGGACCTAGCTGAACACAGGCAACAGACCTTTTGCTCTGACCACCCCTGTATTTGGGCACTGAACCCCATTCTAGTGCTCCACTGCAATTGCACGACCCCCCAAATGCTGCCGATCTGTATCTTCAGGGAGGGAACGCTCAGCTCTGCCTGCTTTTACTTCAGAGTAAAACCCTGGCTCCAGGCAAAAACACCACTTCAGAGGCTGCACTAGGCTGTTAGCTTATGTTTCAGTGTGCTAGCCAGACTCTAGATGTTCTAAGACAACAAACAAGGGTGTGGGAGAGGAAGACAACAAGTGAGCCAAAGCATACATTCCTGATTCCCATCACAAACTGTTTCTGAGCAAACCCCAAAGGAGGAAGCATCCTGCTGTGGTATCTGACCTTAAAGAGGTGGGGATGTTTGATGTAGAGTCGCCCTCTTGTTCCTCCCATCCCGAGAGCTCTGAAACAGGAACACGAGGCGGGTGTTAAACCGGTGCAGAAGGGGCACTGAGCGGTACAGGGACACTTACTCTCCTCTCCTCTCCTCCCCAAGCCCGTGCCCTTCCTACTGCTTCCAAGGCAGAGAGGTGATGGGAGGAGTCCTAAGGGCTCCTGCCTGGGAGACACCACCCTCCATCAACAGGGCCATTCCTTACTTGTTTGCTCGAGATCCCAGCACAAAGGTTGTGGTTTCAGTCAGTCGGGATGGATCCCACTACAGAGCAATTGGAAAAGGGGCAACATTAGAAATGAAGCTGGTGCCAACCAATGCTCCATGAGCCTCAGATCTCTGATGGGGACCTCAGAACCGCCCCCTGAGCTGGGAGGGAGGCAGCTAGCCACAAACCTCTGGATTTCCACAGAGGAGGGAAATTATGTCACCCTGGGCTGCTCTAAGCAGTTTCCTCGGCACATAACACTCGTGGGATCCTCCTGGCTACTACTGCTTGCCCTAAGTCTCCTGAAAAGCTGGTACCACACCACAGAACTATAGGCTACAGTGACTGGAGGAGACGAGCATAGGCTTCCAGGCACTTCACTCCTCTTCTTGCTTCTTTCTTTGCAACACAGAGGCCCATCAGGGCAGAGCACAGCTTAGAACTGTCCTCCGGTCCCACAGCAGGTGGGGCTCTGCTGACGGAAGCAAAGAGGAGGAGAGGGTGAGCCCAGCAGTGTTGGCCAACCGATACCTTTGGTCCATCCCTTCTCACGGGCTCAGAGACTTTGAGCTTCCACCTGAGGGGAAGGAAAATGAAATAAGAACGGATCCCAGAGGCACCAACTCACAGAACAACACCGCAAGCACCTAGCAGCAGGGAGCTGAGCTCCACCCCCTCCCAGCTCCATTTGCATTCACACCTTCTATTTCTCTCCAGTGCCCAGCTCTGGATCCTCATCCGTGCTGCACATTCTCTTCTCCCCAGCTGCCAACATCCCACCTCTACCTGTGTCATATACTGCTCACCCTGAATAGTCCATCTGGACCCTTCTGCCCCTTTGGGCCTTGCTTTCCAGAGGGTCTTCTACACTCCCTGCTTCATTCCCCACCCTCTCCAAGCGCAGGCTCTAAGTCAGAACCCATACTCACGCAGCCATGCCCGAGACCCCACGATCATTTGCCAGGCTCTGTCCTGGAGGCCGACCCTTTCTCTGCAAGAAAGATATCCTTGAGCTACTCATTTGTGTAGGCTGAGGGTACTCTTTCGGTTATCCTCTGCTGGGAAAATTGCTCTTTTTACCACGAGCAAAGTGCTGGCTAGCCCTAGAGTAAGGACCTCTAAGGCATTACAAAAGCTGCATCTGCATGCACTTATTTTCTGGGAAGGATGAGGAAGAGGCTTCCCATAACATAAAAGCATTTTTGTGGAAAACCCTACCTTTTTGGGAACAGGGCTTCCTCGCCGATTCAACTCCTCATCCATCTGTCTGGCACGCTGGCAAAGGAACGGCAGGAAGTGAACAGCAGCCCTTCTCCCTGTCTAGTCAGAACCCCCACCCACCCTGTCAGCTACTCTCTTATCTGCCGCACTTGGGGCACAGAGCACAAGTGCACAGGGAACGCTGAAGTCAACCCATCTCGGTATGAAGCACGTAGTTGCAATAAGCAACAGCGCATGGGACTTTTGTTGCTCTGTACCCCCTCCCTCCTAGCCCAACATCTCCCAGTTCTACCCCCTCATTAGAGCAACTGATGGACAACCAGATATCAGGGAGAGATCTATCCTGCAGCTTTTAAAGGACAACACTGTACCCCCCACTTACATATTGATTCTGTAATTCAACAGATAAGGAACAGGCAGAAAACAAAGCAACTCAAAACCCTCCTCTTATTTCTTCCAGCTCTTAAAGTCATTTAAGACTACAGGAACAATAACAACTTTTACCTTCGGTACCGCCTGCTCATGGGGCAACCTTGGGATCACCTTTTTGCCATCAGAGAAAAGCAGCTTGGCCTGTAAGAAGAGAAAGGATTATCTGATTCTGGGTCCAGAGAGGGACTGCCAGCTACCCCTGCCTTTCCCTATGAAAGGGGCTCATGTGTGCAAAGACACTCGCGCTGGAGAGAGAGCCCCAGGCCAGGTAAACTTTAAAGGCCATAGCTAATGACTCAGATGCCCAGTAGACCACAAGGGCTGGTCACTGCAGACCCCAGAGATTCAAGTGTATCTGGCCAGAAGCCCTATATCAGCTCTGGTTGCAGAGTGATTCTAAAGCGCAGTGCTGTTCACAGACAGTGAGATGCAAGAGCACGATCAAGTCAGGATGACTGGCACAAAAGTAAGATCTGAAAGAAGAAGATCACAGTCTTGTTGGAGGAACCTTCAACGGGTACCAGGGAACTAGAGTCACTGTGAAAGCTCCCTGCTGTCAGCTGTGTGCAACAAGCATGGACAGAGCATCAGTGGGAAGCAGCAGTTCATTGAGAGCTACCCAACCCCGACTACTCTCCTTTTCGACAGGGAAAAAGAAGTCGAGCACAGTATCCACGGAAGGACTGTGGACGCCCTCCTCTGGCTATTCTGCAAGGCTGTGAGGAGGAACATGCCCTACCGCAGGCTGCTCTGCACAGCCAGCCAAGCAAATAGTAGTCTGCCGCTGCTGGACATACCAGGCTGCCCCGGGTGTGCAGGGCCCTTGGCTATGGTGCCCACCTGTTCTAGGCAACTCCGGCACGTCTCCTGGATGAGCTGCTCTGGGTCCACCTCCTCCCCGACATTATCACGCACATTGATTGCTGCTTTCTGGAAAAACTGGTGAAGAGGCAGCAGGAGAAGGTTAGAGCCTGACCAGCAAGGCAACATCGGGGCAAGCACATGGTGCACTTGTGCTCTCACACTGCACCCGCATGCCAGCGGCCAGGCTGGCACAGGACAGGCGTGACCGCCTCACACAGCCACCCAGGAGCCAAGCTCCTCCTGCAGGGCCCACAGCGGGACAGGGTGGCACGAGGCACTGCCCCGGCAGCTCTCACCTTCATGTACTTGTTGAAGACGCCTCGGATTTCCTCATTGATGCTGGGCTGCAGGACGGCTCGCAGCAGCTCCATGGACACGACTGGGTCTGTGAAGCTGAAGGTGCAGAGATCAGGTGGGTGGCACAGACCCCCTCCCCCAGTCTGGTCTAATCCAGACCCTCTCCTCCAGGCCAGTCCAGCTGCCCCCTCCCAGCCTGGCCCAGTCCGGTCCTCCCACTGCCGCAGTCTCCCCTCTCGATCCTCCCGGTCAAACCGGCCCGGTCTCCCCCCACCCCCTCCGTCTCCGG